CCAAGGAGCGACTGGTGGATTTGAACCACTGACCTTCAGGTTAGCAGTCCAGTGCTTATCTTACAGCACCACACCAGGACTTCGTGATGAAATAATTTGAAATATTGTGAGCATGACCAAACTGGGACACAGAGACACTGAGTGAGCCCATGATGTTGGAAACCTGGTGCTAACAGGCATGTTCAGTGCAGGCTTGACACTAACCTTCCGTTTGTTAACAGCAGCGTTATCTGTGAACAGGGATAACATGAATCACACTAAACAAGGTGTGCTGGGACTTGGCTGTAACCAAATGAACTGGCTGTTTAGTCTTGGGCCGGTGACGTCCATCTTAAAATGAGGGAGTTGATTCATTTTAGAGCTAATCCTGGTGTGGCGCTGTGGGCTAATGTCAGACTGCAAAATCATTTGAACTGCAAAGTCAGTGGTTCAAGCTTACCAGCTGCTTCTTGGAAACCCTATACAGAGTCACTATGGGTTGGAATCGACTCGACAGCACTTAACAACAACAATCCTTTTTTGGAAGGAGCTCTGGTAGCATAGTGGTTATGAGTCAGGCTGCTAACCTCACAGTCAGCAATTCAAAACTACCAGCTGTTCAGCGGAAGAAAGATGAGGCTTTCTGCTCCCGTAAAGATTTACAGCCTCGGAAACCCTGTACAGGGTCGCTAAGTGTCGGAACCGACTCCACGGAATACCACCACCACCAGTCCTGTTTTGGAGTCCTTGTATGGCACTGCAGGTTAATGTACTGGACTGCAAGGTCAGTTTGAACTGCAGCTTTGGCAGTTCAAACGCACCAGCTGCTCCTTGGAAACTTAACAACAACAACAAACCTTTTTTGCAGAGTGGGGCAGAGTCCTGAATTCCTTTCAGAACTGATGGATTGTTGGATACATTGCACTTTGAAAAGCTCGTAATCTCTGAAAGTTCTTGGCTCCCTCGTGGAAACACCTGCTAAGAATCCTTGGACTGATGGTTCTCTTCTGACGGCCCTTCTAGGCTTCACATCAAGTTCTAGAGGAAAAGGCATCAAAGCAGAGCCCTGCTAGACCCGGTCAGTAAACTCACTTCTTCACCTCAACTCCGTTGAACTGGAAAGATAGTGAACCAGACTTTCAAAGTTATCTCTGGGAGCAGCATCTGTGATTGTTATGGGTACATTGAATTGTGACCCCCCCCCCAAAAAAAAAAAATAAATTGGAAATCCTTACCTCTATGTCTGTGGTTATAATCCCATTTGGTAATGAGTTGTTTTTGTTATGTGAATGAGACAGGGTTCATATAGGGTATGTTTTAAATCTCTCTCTTTTGTAATGTGAATGAGACAGGATTAGGATAGGGTATGTTTTTAATCTCTCTTTTGAGATATGTTGTTGTTATAAGTACCATCCCACCAGATACCACTCATAGTGACCCTGTATAGGGTTTCTGAGGAACATCTGGTGGGTTTGAACAGTTGACCTTGCAGTTCATACTGACCTTGCGGTTTAGTGCATTACCCTATAGCACCACACCAGGACTCCTACTGATGATTACAGCATCTCTTTTTAGCCAGTGGGAATGAAGAAACTACTTATCAACTTGATTGTCACCCCCACCCCGTCCAATCAGCATGGAGGGAAGGCTGCTCCATCAAGGCTAGATTGAAACAATTTAAATCAATCTCCTGGGACATTACCAGGGAGAAAAAATAGAGCATTTAAAGAAGCCCCACATGTGAGCAGTCAATTCGAATTTTCCACTTCTAATTTAGCCAAGCTAAAGGAGCTCTGATAGCGTAGTGGTTACGAATCGTGCTGCGAACCTTAAGGTCAGCAGTTTGAAACTACCAGCCGCTCCTCAGGAGAAAGATGAGGCGTTCTGCTCCTGTAAAGATTTACAGCCTCAGAAACCCTGTAGAGGGTCGCTATGGGTTGGAACCTACTCCACGGCACATAACCAACCAACCAATTTAGCCAAGAGTTTCAAATGGGTATATACTATGGTACTATAGAAGCTCATATGAGAGAAGAAGCTTGGCCATCCTGGCCTCCAAGGAGCACTCTGGCTGCACTTCTTCCAACACAGATCTTTTGGTTCTTTTGGCACTCCATGGCATTTTCAATACTTCGGACATATTGTCAGTCGCTGGAGAAGGATATCATGTTTGGTAGGGTGGAGGATCAGAAAAAGAGGAAGACCCCCAGCGAGATGGATTGGTAATATGGCAGCAGCAATGGACTCAAGCGTGGTAACAATCGTGAGATTGGCCCAGGACTGGGCAGTGTTTCATTTTGTTGTGCACAGGGTCGCTATTAGTTGGTATCAACTTGATGGCCCCTAACAACGTAGAAGCTCATAATATCAGTGATAGCTTTACCTACTTTTGATTCTAAATGTACGTTTTAGCCCAGGCACATTTTTTTTTTTTTTTCCCTTTACAGATACCTAGTATGTGAAACAAAGAAAAATGGAGATGCCTGGGTTGAGGCCAGTTATAACTGGCAGAGCTGTAATTGTGAAAAATCACAGCAGGTATGGAGCTCAAAGAGTTCTCCAATCTCAACAGGAGGGTCAGCTGAAGATTCTTCTGGCTCCAAGGGTGAGCTTAGCGCCTTCGTTCAAGGTGATGTGGAAGACATTGACTGGAAGTCGGGGAGCGTGTCTAGAGAGTCGCAGCGTTTTTAGTCATCATTTGCAAATGTTGCGCTTTGGGATGCGGGCCTCTCCTCTGTTGACATATGATGCACTGATGCCCAGAGGGGGACAGGGGCTTACTCCAAGTCCCACTGGGAAGGAACGTCTGGACCTGAAAAAGCACCCATCTTCTACCACCAAGTGCACTGTGAAGGGAATTCATGGAAACTTTGGCTTAAAAAATGTTTTGCCTAAAAGCAGCTATAAAAAAAATCGTTTGGGACAAAAGACTTGTGGATGCTATCCAAGATGCTCGGTGGTACCGTATTGAGACGGAACGCTCCTGAGACCCTGCTAGTCACTTCATGGAGCAGAGTTACAGGTAGAGTTACAGGTCTAGGTGGGAATGTTGCCGGCTGTAGGTGCGCTGCCTGTGTGACTGGCCATTGTCCCACAATGCAATGTGTTCAGTTGGTGGAATGTCAGCTTGAGAGGTCCTAGGGACTACCCTGTTGACTCTTAGGGCCAATAGGGGTGGGGAAGAGTGCCCATATCACCTGGGAAAGTGCTGCAAGGGAGCCAGAGCAAGGAGGGTTCCTATGAGGCCAGGGCTGGCTTGAAGCTGGATGTTGGTGTGGGGTGTGGGGTGCACCTCTGGGACAGAGCCGTTGGCTGCTCTGACACGGCACACAGTAAGTCTCCACTCAGTACTGACAGAATGAGCGAAGTGCACTTAATGTCTTAGCAGTGTTACTATACTGAGTGCTCTTACACATAGACTCTCCCTGTACCAGGTTTGCAGCTGTCCCCACAACTGCTTGTCACCCATTTTCATCCCAGTGTGCTTCCTTGAGTGAACTTAGAGTTAACAGCAAAAACTGACCGTGTCACTTAACATGCCATTGAGACATCTCCTATGTGTGATCTGGTGGGGAACAAACAAAAACAAGAGGCCAGGATTTGATCTACCTTTTCTACAAAGAATATGAGAGAGGTAAGCCCTCATATCTTGTCTGAACAACTCAACTCTTTCCTAGTCCAGTCTAGGTTCTCCCCATCCCATCCAACCTTCCTCCTCCTCCTCCTCACCCATACAACTCCTTCCCTCAAACCTCTCAGACACCCCTCCATCGACCTAAAGAGTCACATTTTCTAGCCAAGTTATGAAGGCCACCACATTCTCCTTCCATCCCACTTTTCCAGCTTCATCTCCCAAAATATCCCTGCACTCCCAACCCGCCTTTTGCCGCTATGAAGCCTCTTATAACCACCTAGAATGCCTTGCTCTACCACCTAGTCTCAGGGTACACTGCTTTTATCTCTAATGATGGGACCCCATGTCTACCTCATCCACTAGATGCAAAGGGAAGAATCTGTTGATACATCAATGAATGAATGGATCAGAAAGAAATGGAGAATGTGATCCCAGGGAACCAAGGAGCCTTGTTCAGGGAGCCGGCAGGAGCCTACCCTTCAGTGTGCCCTTGCTTCTGCACCGAAGCCACACTGTGTCCATAGCTGCTGCATCAAGAAGGCTGAGCTGAAGATTCGATGCCAAAGTCTTCAGCAAGGCTGGAGAAGCCAACAGCAGGGACAGCTTTCTAAAGGGACAATTTGGAGCTCTGTCAAGGTCAAGCATGGGATATCTAGAGAACGGTCCACCACAAGTCCACTTGCTTGAGGAGGACCTGTTGTGCTGGAAAGAGGGACTCCTGCCCAGGACTCCAGGAGTGATGGGTGGGGAGTGGGGGGCAGTCAGCCTTGCCAGTGTGGGATTTAATGCAAAGAGACCAGTGCTTCCTTCTTGACTAAGTGCTTCCAGAGCTGGGGAAGGCAGCTGCATCAGGAAGGTGGCTGTGGTGGCGATAAGCACACAGAAAACATATTGATTCCTATTGGAATCCATGAAAAGGCTGAAACCCTAGGAATCTTGGATAGGGAGATGGGATCAGAAGGGTTTGTAGTGACCAGACCTTCTGATTTGGGGTGGCAATGTGGCCCAGGCAGGAGGAATTTAGAGGAAAAATGGAATCCTGTAGGTTTGCTATTCCAATGTCAGTGATGACCATGAGCATCCAGAACTTGGTTTGGGTGGCTGGGAAGGAAATGAGAATGCAAGGAGACCCCTCTAACCAATGAGACAGAATCTGCTGTGTAAATGCACAGGGAGAGAGGAAAAGGCAAGTCAGATGAGTCAAGTCAACGCATGTGGCTGTGGCCATGGGGATCAAGGCTTGATGTCTTTGGCTGTGAGTCCTGCCTTGCTTTGGCAGCATTTTCCAGAGCTCTAGAAACAACTGCATGATCTATGGCTTGAGATCGTTGAGCTGGTTTCAGCCCCGAGTCCTGGGTTGATGTCACAGAAACCAAGTTTAACCAAGTTAAAGGTACTTGATGGGCGAGGTGGTCTTTTCCTGGACCAGGTCGTCCACGTCATTCAGAAGGTTGTGTTTACTGGTGCTGTTGGTGTTCTGGAGGCGTCGCAGGCGGGCTTGTATCTGCTCTTGTTCCTTTTTGAGCTCCAAGTAGGAGTGGGAGAAGGTGTGGAAGATCGATGTGGCTGGGAAAGCCATGATGAGGATCCCGCTGAGGATGCTGCTGAGGGCCACCATCTGGCCGGGTACACTGCAGGGGACCATATCTCCATAGCCTACCGTCGTCATGGAGATGATGGCCCACCAATAGGAGGCCGGGATACTGGTGAACTCCAGCACGCGCCCGGACTCGTTCTCAGCTACGTAGACCAGAGGGGAGAAGAGCGTGACGGCCACGCACAGGAAGAGGAGGAGCAGGCCGAACTCGCGGGTACAGCGGCGCACGGTGAGCCCCAGCGTCTGCAGCCCCAGTGAATGTCGTGCCAGGCGCATCACGTATAGGATGCGCAGCGCCCTCAGCACGCGTAGTACCAGCCCCACCTTCTCCAGGTAGGAGCTGCCGCTGGTCTTCTCACTGTTGTCCTGGGGCTCCTCAGACACCACGAGCGACACGTAGTATGGGGAAATGGCCAGGATGTCAATGATGTTCAGGGGCCCTTGGAAGAACTGGCACTTGTTACGGGCTTGGACAAACCTCAGGCATAACTCCAGGGAGAACCAGGCCACGCAGATGGTCTCCACGATGAAGATGTAGTAACACTTTTGAGAGCATTCACCCTGGTGGCAGAAGAAGCAACAAGAAGCGGGGTAGGCAGTAGACCAGAAGTGGGAGAGATTGCTGTAAGCCCAGTGTGGTTGTGGCTAAGCGCTGAACAGCCAGCTGTTAGCCATCAGCTTTGCTTTGGGGTGGAGATGCTTAGTTGTTCACCAAACCCCCTTCTACTGAGTTCCCCAGTTGTGACTGATCCGCCGGCCCTTACAGCTAGGTGCATCTACGGGATATGGACGGAAGTGAGGTGTGTCTCTTCCAGATCCTGGATTGAAGATACAGGTGTGAGCCCCTTCACACTCTGTCCCCCTTCCTGTGAGCTGGGACCCCACAGATGAGCCTGCATGCAAGTCTAGACTGGGGAGACCTGGCCAGCGCCCCAGGTGAGGATGGAACACCTGGGTGGAGACTGAGAGCTGTTCACTTGCGTAGACCCCTCACCTGACAGCAGAAAGAAAACAAGTCTTTAGTCTATAGCCGTTCTATCTTGGGGACTCTTGGTTAGAGCAGTTAACCTTCACTATAACTCCTATGAAAAGGAGCTCTGGTAGCGTAGTGGTTACGAATCGGGCTGTGAACCTTAAGGTCAGCAGTTCGAAACTACCAGCTGCTCCGCGGGAGAAAGATGAGGCTTTCTGCTCCTGTAAAGATTTACAGCCTCGGAAACCCTGTACAGGGTTGCTATGAGTCGGAACCGACTCCACGGCACATAACAACAACAACAACATAACTCATGTGAGCAGGTCTCTGTCAGTGACCATGACCTGTCCGTCAGTGTATCACACTGTGGTAGCCTGTGTGTTGTTGTGATATTAGAGGCTGTATCACTGATATTTCAGTTCCAGCAGGACCACCCGTGGTGGACAGGCTTCAATGGAGCTTCCAGACTCAGACACACTAGGAAGAAAAGTCTGGTGATCTACTTTGGAAATCAGTCATTGACACCTTCCTGGATCACATCAGAATGCTGTCTACCAGAATCTGCTGGGAGATGAATCATGTCAGTGACCATGGAGACGGTGCAGGGCGGGGTAACATTCTGTACTGTTAGACATAGGTTCTCACCAGTCACCTTGATGGCAACTTGCAACAATGTAATACTAGAGAGATGTAAGCTTCTATTCTGTTTAACCCCATTCTGCCTTGGGGCTTATTTGGCAGAGCAGGGACCCTTCCCCTTTGTGTTCCAGGCACTGGCTTAGAGCTACCATTGAAACTACCTGGTGAGGCTGGGAGTAGGCAGTGTGACCTCAGGGCATGGTTGAGGAACTGGTTCAGAGCTGCCAAATGACTCACCTGAGTTCACGGACGTAGTATGTCCAGAGGGTGCCCTGGTGACACGATGGGTAAACACTTGGCTGCTAACCAAAAAGTTTGGCAGTTTCAACCCATCAGCTGCTCCGAGGGAGAAAGATGAGGAAATCTGCTTCCGTAAACATTATAGCCTTGGGAACCCATGGGACAGTTCTACTGGGTGGTATAGGGTTGCTACGAGTCAGAATGGACTTGATGGAAATGGGTATATTTAAACAGAAGGAGCTGTGGTGGTGCAGTGGGTTAAGCACTTGGCTGATGACCAGAAGGCTGGTGGTTCGAACCTACCAGCTACTCTGCAGGAGAAAGATGTGGCAGTCTGTGTCTACACATGACAACCTTAGAAACCCTATGGGAGAGTTCTGTTCTACTCTGTGGTTGTTAAATGCCTTAGAGTCGATTCCAATTCATAGCAACCCTGTATAGGGTTTCCAAGGAGTGGCTGGTGGATTTGAACCACCAACCTGTCAGTTAGTGGTCCAGTGCTCATTCTACAGCACCACACAAGGACTCACTGTGCCCTGTAGTGTCGCTTGACACTATTCCCACTTGACAGCAACAGGGGTAGAGGTCAGACTCTAGCCTAGTCACTATATAATAATTTGTAACTTTTTAACCTACTATCACTTGTTCATTCATCCAACAAGTATGTATTTATGACTTTTGGTGTGGTGCTGTAGGATTAGCACTGGGCTTCAAACCACAAGGTCAGCAGTTCAAACCCACCAGCTGCTCATTGGACACCCTACACGGAATCGCTATGAGTCAAAACTGACTTCACACAGCCCTTAATGACACTTTGTGTGAACCACTGCTCAGCTCTGGGGGTCTTGATTGTTAGAGAAGTGGACGTAGTTCTGAGGTTGCATGGTGGCTACTGTGGGTGGGAGAGGACTTCGTGGGACTGTTCTTGCACTGTGCATCTCCTGCTGGATTCAAGCTCCCCCTGCCCTGGGCTTCTAAAACAACCGTCCAGTAACCCTAGTGATATGCAGTATGCTCTCTGGATTTACGGAGTCCTGGTGTGGTGCTGTGGGTCAATGTGGCAGACTGCAAAGTTGTTTAAATTGCAGGGTTGGTGGTTCAAGCTCACCAGCTGCTCCTTGGAAACCCTATACAGGGTCGCTATGGGTGGGAATTGACTCAATGGTACTTAACAACAACTCTGGATTTGCAACCCAGAATCCTCAGGGCAGGGAGGGGTAGGTGGAGTGGGGTGAACCAAACGTGCTGCCATCAATCTGTCTGACTCATCGCGAACCTTTAGCACAGAGTAGAAGTGTCCCATCAGGTTTCTGAGGCTGTAAGTCTCCAGGGAAGCAGACTGCCACAATCGTTCTCCCACGGAGCAGCCAGTGGGTTTGAATTGCTGACTGTTTGGTTCACAGCTGATGCTTAATCACTGCGGCACCAGGGCATCTTCCTCCCCAATGAGCTTGTTAGAAATACAGAATCTCAGACCAGCTCTTCTTCATCCCTACCTAACCCAAATGTGCATTTCCACCAAGATTCCCAATTTTTGAGAAGTCTTGTTCTGGGGTGGGGGCTGCCTGAGGGGGGGGGGGTTAGGGAGCAGTGGTTGTCAGCCTTGGCTACACAATAGAACTCCCTGGGGAGCTCTGAGAATTTCTGATGCCCAGGCTGGGCCCTCAGGGATTCTAAGTGATCTAAGGGAGGGGTGGAGCTACAGAGACGATTCTAACGTGGAGCCGGTCCAGTGTGGAGGACTTGGCTGTAAATATTATGTATGTATTTGATGGCTGAATGAATGAATGGCTGAAGCCAGTTACCAGAGTGAAAAGCAAGATGTTGAAAACCACCATTTTCTTTGGATTCAAATGCTCTGAAGTGGAAAAGAAAGTATTTCCAGCACCTGGGTTCACACGGGAACTAAATTGAGATTTTTCTTTCTGACTGGCTGCAGGTTATTTCATGGCAGTCTCTACTTACTTACCCAGGGTTGGACAACTGTCTCTTTTTATGTCTGTCTGGTTGACCAGAAGAGTAGGGGGCAGTAGCAGTGGTATTTGGGACATGGAGCCCAGAGCTTGTGAGTATAAATCCCAGCTCTTTCACTGATTTGTTTAAATCATTTGGCCCTTCTGGACTTGCCAAGCGAAAGGTTGGTGGTTTGAACCCACCACCTGCTCTGTGAGAGACAGATGAGGCCGTCTGCTCTACTTTATCCTATAGGGTCCCTAGGAATCCATATGAACTCGATGACAGTGGGCTTGGACTTGCATTTTGTAGGGGAGTCCCTGGGTGGTGAGAGCAGTTAATGCTTTCAGCTGCCAACTGAAAGGCTGGAGGTCTGAGCCCACCCAGAGGCACCTCAGAAGAAAGGTCTAGTTGGTGATCTACTGCTGAAAATCCAATGAAGCGAGGTTCTCTTTTGACACTCATGGGGTCACTATGAGTCTGAGTGGACTCCGCAGGCAACTGGTTAGCCCGTGATGAATGAAAATAAGATATATAAAGCAGTTAGCAAGGAGCTCTGGTAGCGTAGTGGTTATGAATCAGGCTGTGAACTGCAAGGTCAGCAGTTTGAAACTACCAGCTGTTCTATGGGAGAAAGATGAGGCTTTCTGCTCCCATAAAGATTTACAGCCTTGAAAACCAACCACCAAAGCAGTTAGTAGGATGTCCCAAGGATACTGTACTTAACAGGCACACAATAAATACATTGTAGCTACTTTCATGATATGATACATTGGTCACAAGCCTATAATAGCCTGACTATAAGATATAATTGTGTTGGACTGCAAGGTCACTTTGAACCACAAGGTCTGTGGTTCAAGCTCACCAGCCGCTCCTCAGAAACCCTAAATAGGGTTGTAATGAGTCAGACTGACTCGACGGCATGTAACAACAACAAAATAAAGTGTAACAGTGTCCTCATTCTGCCTTGGCTGCCACAGGAAGCCAAAGCAATTCTCCAGTATTTAGAGAGGTCTTCGCCATGCCCTCCTGAGATCTGCATTCAGATTTTGGAGGGCTCAGGAGTTGTGGATCCTTACAGCCCCCAGTCCTACCATGGTGTGTCCTCACCAGTTCGCTGTCTGCTCCAGTTTCCAACAAAGAAGTGGGAACAGAATCGTGTTCCCCAAAGCTGATTCAGAATCCTCTGCATCAGCTTGGCCTAGGATGCTTGCTCAAATGCAGGTTCTGAGATCATAGAATTGGAAACCCACTGCCACCGAGCTCATTCTAATTCATTGTTGGTGTTGCTGTGTGCCATCGAGTCGGTTCTGACTCGCTAGAGCATTTCCAAGAGCTGCTGGTGGGTTTGAACTGCTACCCCACAGTGCTACCAGGCTGGAACCTGCCTTTTGGGGAGCTCCCCAGAGGATTATGAGGCACCTAAATGCTTCTCAGACTCTTTTCCTCTGTCATTCTGGGGTGTTTTTCCTTGCCTTTGGGGACTTGGAATAACTTAGCCGAAGCCACCACCCTGCATCTCAGGAAGGTGACTCCTGAGACTGAGAAGGCACCGTAACTGTTCCCTCTGTGCTACTCATTCGTATTTGGATATTCAAAGCACGTATGGCCCCCGCCGGCTTCCAGAGACCTGGCCCGCTGGCCACAACCCGGCACTGCACTGCACCAAGTGTCTGCCCACTCACAGCACCTGCATTGCTGCTGGTCTCTGCCTCCTTAAAGCAAAGGCCACACTCGGCTCTGCAGCTGGCTGTAC